AGTCAGTCTCCTCCAGCTGTCTCTTCCAGCAGTCAGTCTCCTCCAGCAGTCAGTCTTCTCCAGCAGTCAGTCTCCTCCAGCAGGCAGTCTCCTCCAACTGTCTCTTCCAGCAGGCAGTCCCCTCCAGCAGGCAGTCTCCTCCAGCTGTCTCTTCCAGCAGGCAGTCTCCTCCAGCTGTCTCTTCCAGCAGGCAGTCTGTAAAATCCGGTTGGAACGATCGTCAATGTTAAATCTTCTTAATTTCTTATTGTCTTCAGTTGATTGATATATATATGTCTTTTGTATATATAGTCTTGGGCCAAATGCTCGCAACATTGATATATGTCTATATTAATGAAAAGTACTAATACGCAATCTGACTTACGGTTTCTTCAGGTTTATTCTTAGTTATAGATACATAATAAAACAACAAAGGATGTTACAGAATAATGGATTTCAACAGCAGATGGTAATTGCTGGACTCCTGAAGGGAGAGTTACATCGTTGTACAGGAAAGAGAGCCAAGAGAGAGAGACCTCGTGTTCAGTTACTATATAGATATTACTATAATGACGTCAGACTATAACTCTTGCCATATAAGGACAAAACCCCCAACTTACATTCCAGAGCTCTCATACAAATAAAGCCTTGTGACTTAGACCATCTGTTACTTATGTCAATCCGGACATCCATACATAATCAATAGAAACACAGAATATGCAATATTCTACACAGTGTCCTCCAGCAGGCAGGCATTCCCCTCCAGCATGCAGTCCCCTCCAGCAGGTAGTCCCCTCCAGCAGGCAGTCTCCCCCAGCAGGCAGTTAATCTCCTCTTCCAGCAGGCAGTCTCCTCCAGCTGTCTCTTCCAGCAGGCAGTCTCCTCCAGCTATCTCCTCCAGCATGCAGTCTCCCCCAGCAGGCAGTCAGTTAGTCCCCTCCAGCAGGCAGTCTCCCCCAGCAGGCAGTCCCCTCCAGCAAGCAGACTCCCCCAGCAGGCAGTCTCCCTCCAGCAGGCAGACTCCCCAAGCAGGCAGTCTCCTTCCAGCAGGCAGTTTCCCTCCAGCAGTCTCTTCCAGCAGACAGTCCCCTCCAGCTGTCTCCTCCAGCAGGCAGTCCCCTCCAGCAGGCAGTCTCCCCCAGCAGGCAGTTTCCCTCCAGCAGTCTCTTCCAGCAGACAGTCCCCTCCAGCTGTCTCCTCCAGCAGGCAGTCTCCTCCAGCAGGCAGTCCCCTCCAGCAGGCAGTCCCTTCCAGCAGGTAGTCCCCTCCAGCAGGCAGTCCCCCCCAGCAGGCAGTCCCATCCAGCAGGCAGTCCCATCAGGCAGTCCCCTCCAGCAGTCCTTGCATGGTTGGCCCTGCAATAAATGTTATATCTGGAGTATACATATCACTTCTGCTCAGCCTGACTAAGCGATCCTGGGCTAGACCTTGGTTATAAATCTTCCAAACTTGGATAAAAGCTACCCAAGGTTCTCGGAGACCTCTATCATTATCAGACCCCGTGATCATGGAAGCTCCCACTGCTCCTGTTTATTGCAAATTGACACAGACTGAATTCTGGGTGATACAGTAAATGTAATAAACCAAGGGAATGCCACAGTGTGCATTTTTTGTTTTAAAAAATATATAAATATTTGGTTTTATTGAATCTCCTGTTTGACAAAACTGATATTAATGTATTCTAAAATGTTATGTTTTGTTATGTTACATACATGGAATCAAACACATTAACTTAGCTAACCAGAAATATATTGTATTATATTGTATTATTGCAATACAGGTACCTGACCCTATATTCCAGAGGCCACTCAGCACAATCTCCGGCGCTATGGGGGAGCAGTGTCTGAGTGGCTGGCAGAAAGGGGATTTACCAAACCCGCTGTGACTGGGGGGCGCGTAATGAGCCGTGACAATAAAGAATGCCCTAGGCCACGCAGAAACACAGGAGGGTGAGGGAAATCGGGTGCAAGTGACAAGGGGGAGTGATGAAACGGGGGTGCAAGAGACATTATAGGGAGGATATACTAAAGAGGGGGTAAAACATGTAATTTATAGTGAACATTTCAAAGTGTTACTTTCACATCATTTGAAGATGCATAAGAGATGTATGGGATATCTATATCTACGCTAAACAATACAATAAGTAATTGGACAGTTAGAACTACTCCTCGAGACATGCGTCTGTGAGACCGAGGAAACCAGAGCTTAGAGCAAATGGGAGAGTAATGTTACAGAGTCACGTCTTCACTACAATTAATGAGATTTAATACTCCGCTTGTTCATCTTACAGATATTATAACGAAATAGTATATCAAGATGAAAACTTTCAACCATCCATCTATTGTTATTAGAGATAATACCGTCCCTCTATCGTTATTATATTATTATTATAATTTTATTATTTATATAGCACCATCAGTTTCCGTAGTACTGCACAATGGGTGGACTAACAGACATGTAATTTTAACTAGAAGTACAGGAACAGAGAGGTGGAGGGCCCTGCTCAATGAGCTTACATTCTAGAGGGAGTGCGGTATAATGACACTAAGGGTAAAAGTAGGGAGTACAAAGTAGGTTGTGTAATGGCACCCCAGGTATAGAAGGGGTTAACGCCGCCAAAGATGTTCCCTTCCCGAACGCAGGATCAGCTACCGAACACTCCTAACCCCCGAACAGGAAAACACACGAATAATCCCCCCCAAGTACGAGCCGAAGCTCTGTATTGAGGGTCTAGCAGGAATCTGTTTAATGTGGGCTACATGCCCGGCTTTTATGCAGGTCTTCCAGCCAGGGACACTCCCATAAGGGACCTGGTGGAAGACTGTGACAAATTTTTGCAATAACCAATCACAACAGTACAGGTATAAACACTCCCACCTAAACAGTATTGGACCCTCCTCTCTACCCTGGAGATAATTGGGTTAAGTGCTAGAAGTAACTCAATTATTTCCGAGAATAGAGCATAACCACCGTTTTACAAGGATAATAAAAATGCATAAAAATACATAATTCCAAAACTACCGAACAGAATCCCCACGTATCCCCAGATAGCTTACATCTGAGTGGACAATACCACCGAACAGCGCTCAGATACTATACACACAGTTCAATCACCACGGAGCCAAAGTCTTTCACATAGTTATCCCATGGCGCCCATTCGAATGACGAAAAGACTATCTGGGGTGGCTCTGTTTGCATAGTAATGTACCGAACGGCACGGCGTTCGTATGAATGGATGAACAAGATGAAGGAAGGTAGGCAACTTCAGCGGTGTTCTTATGAAAATAGTGTCCATTTTTAGTTCCATAGATTTGTCAACGAACACTGCTGGGCGTTCGCATGTCCAAGATGGCCGCCGCCACGTGTTTGTTCATACGGACGACGACCACCCAGCCGACCATTTAACAATAGAAATAGAAAAAATATAGTGTCTGCAGTTACCAACACGTTTTAATGAGGCCAAGAGGTTAACAAGCAGCACACTTCCCTGCTGGGTGACCCGCCATTCGGTAGTTCTTTCAGGAAAAGGAGAATTAAACATAGGGACCGTACGGACAGGGCAATAACCGAACAAACAGACGAACCAAGGTGAAGCAACAGTAATCCAGAGACAGAGAGGTCTGTCACAGGTTGTTAGAAAAGTATTCACTGAGGGTTTAGTAGGTAATTTTGACAGTTGCAGGAGAAGAGTCATGGGGGGAGGGGGGGTGATAAAAACCTGCTAACAGTTTAATTCATATGCTTTCTTGAAGAAGTGAGTTTCCAATGATTTTTTGAATAAATGGAGACTGGGTGAAAGTCTTACGGAGAAGGGAAGGGAGTTCCACAGAGGAGGTGCAGCCCTGGAGACATCTTGGAGGCGAGCATTAGAGGCGGGAGTATGGAGAGAGGATATACGTGGGTCTTTGGCACAACGTAGGGGCCTCGACGGGACATACTTGTGTATTAGGGAGGATAGGTAGGTTGGAGCACCAGAATTTTAATAGATAATACCATCCCTCTTTCGCTACTATAGATAATAACATCCCTCTGTCATTATTATAGATAATACCGTCCCTCTATCGTTATTAGAGAATACCGTCCCTCTATCTTTATTAGAGATAATACCGTCATCTATCATTATTAGAGATGATACCATCCCTCTATGGTTATTATAGATAATACCGTCCCTGAATTGTTAGTATAGATAATACTGTCCATCTATAGTTATTAGAGATAATACCTTCCCTCTTTCGTCATCTATCGTTATTATAGATAATACTGTCCCTCTATCATTAATAGGGATAATTATATCATTATTATAGATAATACAGTCCATCTATAGTTATTAGAGACAATACCGTCCCTCTATCGTCATCTATCGTTATTATAGATAGTACCATCCCTCTATCATTATTACAGATAATACCGTCCCTTTATCGTTATTAACGATAATATTGTCCCTCTATCGTTATTATAGGTAATTGTCACGTTTACATCCTCTCCATATGCAATGCATAACATAAATCACCTTTCCAGGAATAGTGCTGCTCGGCGGTCCTATGCCATAAGACCAGGCTTTTCTGATATGCCAGTGGACGCCTGCCGCTGCAGATCCACACTGTTATATAGCCCCACATCTTTTCACAGTGGTAGCCGATGTACAGGTTGCATTACGCAGAGGACGCGCACACACGTATTGGGGTCAAAGGCCGAGTACGGCCAATCAGATTCACAAGAGAGATATTTAAACTCACTAATTTCTTCTAATCATTGCCCTGTTGTTGTTTCCCTTTGCTGGTTATCCGAGAGTGTGTTCCTGATCATGTTTCTTTGGTTATTGACTTTGGCTTAGTTCTGACTTCTCTGAATTCTGGTATCCCTGACTATTGGCTATTCCTTGCAACTGTGTTTCGTTCTGTGTTCCTGACCTCGGCTAGTATTTCGACTATTCTCTGGTATGTTAAGTCCGGCCATTTTAAGGTCCGGCCATATCCTTATTCCTAAGTGTAATACTAATACTGCGTGTTGGATCAATTGTAATCCTGACAATAATAGCGTCCCTCTATCGTTATTAGAGATAATACCGTATCTCTATCGTTATAGAAACATAGAATGTGACGGCAGATAAAACCCATTCGGCCCATCTAGTCTGCCCAGTTTTCTAAATACTTTCATTAGTCCTTGGCCTTATCTTCTATCTAGGATAGCTTTATGCCTATCCCACGCATGATTAAACTCCTTCACTGTGTTAACCTCTACCACTTCAGCCGGAATGCATCCACTACTGTCTCAGTAAAGTAATACTTCCTGATATTATTTTTAAACCTTTGCCCCTCTAATTTAAGACTATGTCCTCTAGTTGTGGTAGTTTTTCTTCTTTTAAATATAGTCTCCTCCTTTACTGTGTTGATTCCCTTTATATATTTAAATGTTTCTATCATATCCCCCCTGTCTTGTCTTTCCTCCAAGCTATACATGTTAATAGAGCTATACCGAACATTACGATTTTTGGACCCCAGACCCGAACACGGACATTTCAGTGAATGTTCGGGTTCAAGTTTGGTGTTCGGCGATTTAATGGCGCGTTTTGAAAAGCTGCAGGGCAGCCAATCAACAAGCGTTTGACTCGTGTGCCCTTAGAAGCCATCACAGCCATGCCTACTAATGGCATGGCTGTGATTGGCCAGTGCAGCATGTGACCCAGCCTCTATATAAGCTGGAGTCACATGAGCTGTTATTAGTGTAGGGAGAGGATGTTGCAGCTGTAAGGGACAGATTAGGAAGGAATTCTGGTGTTGAATCTGCAAACTACAGCGATTATTTTTGTGGGTGCTATCCTACATTATTGTACTGTTACCGGAGGAATAACAGGAACAAACCGCAGAAGCCACACATAGAGATATGGACACAGGTATTCAGGAAGTAAGAGGCCTTTATTCACGTACCGATCGGGTCTCAGATGGACTAACGTTCCACAACAGATCTGAGCCCAGAACACATGGAGTACATTCCTTATATAGCAATATAGCTCCTCCCTACACCCACACATACCCTTAACCAATCAATAAACAGAGTCTGGACTTGCTCATCCGGTCTGACCACATGGCTCACCCGAAACAAAGGACAAAGGAGTGTGATTTCAGTTCCTACATTCCTGCACATGCTCAGTACATTGATGACAGTATCTTAGCTACGTGTAACTAACTAACTGATACAACAAACACATGTACCTACATATGCCACGTGGCAATCTTGGCCTACTAAACTTCTATTTTACTGGAATTCCATCACAGTACCCTGCCCTGAGCCCAGTGCCACAGAGAAATAATCAGCCTGTTTGTTAATGTGCCAGGCACATTACTTTAATCCTGTTCTGGTAGCTCAGTGGGCAGCAACATCTAGGCATTTTTAAATACTGCTGTGACATCGCAATTTTAAAAATTCTAATTTTTTTGGTGCTAAAAAGTACATTTGCGGCGTGCACTTCATATCTAAGAGTCAAATAGAACCGTCAAATACTGTGGTTACATCGCAGTTTGAAAAATTAAACATTTTTTGGTGCTAAATAGTACATTTTGGGTGTGCACTTCATGTCTGAGAGTCAAATAGAACTATCAAATACTGTGGTTAAATCTTAGTTTAAAAATTCAAATTTTTTGGGTACTAAATAGTACATTTGGGGTGTGCACTTCATATCTGGTGTATGTGTGCAACACTGGCTAGTTAGCTTCCCAAGAAAGTCTAAAGACAAATAAATGCTGCCTATGGTGCAGGTAGTATAGAAGGCAAGACTGAGACAAATCATTCGGGTTACGTTTGCCTGTTGACATGTTAATTATCTTAGACCATTAAAATTCAATAATCAATGAAAAAACACACTAAGTGTCATACAAAAATAGGTATTATAGACAAGTTAAAAACAAGACTACAAGTCATGCTGTAACAAAATTAAACAAGTTTTAAAATATATATGGGCCAACCAGTGGCTGTAAAAACAAAGTTTTACTGGTTACATTCATGACTACACACTCTAGTGAACAGGACCTTCATGCAGTGTGTTCTTTTTAATCATACAGCATCCTTTCATGTGCTTTCCAGATGGCATATTGTGAATTACCAATTTTTGTTTAGCCTGATTTTTTTTTAAAAAAAAGTGAAAAATAAGTGTTATTGTGATCGCGTCATATACAGAAGCATTAATATACAGTTCTATATTGTGTAAAGACACAACTACAAAGTTAAAAACCAAACACCAAAACAACGTACCAGACAATCTACCTGTGCATGGCTAGTGTGATACAATAAGTCTACATCTTAAAAATGCAATAACCCTCAGAAGGTGGGCGAGAATTTTCTTTTGCAAATGGAACTTTGATTGGAATTTACTACATCGGTCACTTGTAATATTGTTTCACACCTACAACACTTGTTACACAGATCTAAGTGATAGAAAACAGATTGATATTTTCTACACTAGAAACTACCAAATAACAAGCTGCTATATTTAAACCAGTTATCAATAGCTAAGAGGTACTTAAACAATATTGTAATTCTGGGGCAATACCCTCACAAGTCAAACTGAGAGGTCAGTTTATAGGGAAAACTGTTGCCTGGAGGAAATTCTAAAACAATTTCCATATGTCCTTTGCAGACTTTACAATTTAAAATTTTCAGTGATTTTAAACATGTGAATAAAAAAATATTTTAAAAAGTGTATAAATATCAAACAAGCTTAAAAAAATAAAAAACCCAACTCTGAAGCATGTTTGTCATTCTGGATGTTCAGTTGGCCTGCAAAAGAATGAGTTAATAAAGTATACCGCACAAGTTTTACATAGGTTGCCATTATACTGTATATGAAATGTTTGGAGATACAATTTTGATTACTTGCACTTTGAATCTTTAACACTCCACACAGCATTACCACTCCAGCTTGACAACTTTCCATGGGAGGATGTTACCAGCAGGCCCCCAAGTGCCTGAGGCTCCTGTTCAAGACCTGCCAGCACAGGAAGGTGCTACCAACACCCAGTGGAACCCAGGTAAGTTGTCAAATCGCAAGCTGACTACTTACACTTAGGGCTCCAGGACACACCTGGACCCATAATCTTTATAATCTACAGGCTGTACCAATTATAGTGTTTGCCATTTCAGTAAGTTATTCTTGTTGAACTTTACATGCTGGAAAAACAAAGGTGCCAACTGCTGTGGCTTTCTGCAGTGTGCAGACCGGCAAGGAGGGCAGGGTTGAGGAGTGGGTTGAAGATGATGTGGAGGATGATGAGGTCCTAGACCCCACATGGAATGAAGGTCATGCGAGTGATGTATGCAGTTTGGAGGAAGAGGCAGTGGTCGCACGGAGGCACCAGCACAGCATAAGAGGAAGCAGGGTGCAAAAACGGAGCGGCCATCCCCTAGACAGTACGTCTGCTACTGCCCACCGCACCCAGGGACCGAGCACACCAAAGCCAGCTCCAATGAGTTCCCTGGCGTGGCAGTTCTTCACACAATGTGCTGACGACAAGACACGAGTGGTTTGCACGCTGTGCAATCAGAGCCTGAAGCGAAGCATAAACGTTCTAAACCTGAGCACAACCTGCATGACCAGGCATCTACATGCAAAGCACGAGCTGCAGTGGAGTAAGCACCTCAAAAACCAAGAAAGGTCTCAGGCTCCTCCTGCTTCCTCTTCCGCTGCTGTCTCTGGCTCTTCCTCCACCCCACAAACAGAGAATGTGGCAGCAATGCCACCACGTCTGCCACCGTCCCCAAGCATCTCCACACTGTCCCATGGAAGCGTTCATCTGTCCATCTCCCAAACACTGGAGAGAAAGAGGAAGTACCCCCCTACCCACCCAAGATCCCTGGCCCTGAATGCCAGCATTTCAATATTCCTAGTCTTTGAAATACTGTCATTCCGTCTGGACAGTTTTAAAAACCTGATGGCGTTATTGGACTGCAAGAGAATGCACCGCAGGCCGCAAATGTTTCTTTTTTTATATGTCGCAATATTTTGGGGGCTACCCCAATAAAAAAACACAAAAAAAAAAACAGTGTTGGCTACCTCCTCCACTGCCGCTTCCACCTACACTGCCACGGTCATCGCCTCCTCAAACTCCTACTCCACATCCACCTCCTCCTCCAAGTTCAAGATTATTATTTTTAATTTGTATGTATTTTATGTTATTTTAAGTTATTTCCCTATCCACATTTGTTTGCAGGGCACTTGTCCTTCTCTTACCCCCATTTTACTTCCTTTTGCAGCCCTCTAGCCCTTTCCAGAACTTTTTAGAGGCATTTTAGTGCCCAAAAGTTCGGGTCCCCATTGACTTCAATGGGGTTCGGGTTCAGGGTCAAGTACGGGACAAGTTCGAGCCCGAACTCGAACTTTTTGATGAAATTCGGCCGAGCTCGGCGAACCCGAACATCCAGGGGTCCGCTCAACTCTATCCTTTAACCTTTCCTTGTAAGGTTTATCCTGCAATCCATGAACCAGTTTAGTAGCCCTTCACTGAACTCTCTCTAAAGTATCAATATCCTTCTGGAGATACGGTCTCCAGTACTGCATACAATACTCCAGGTGAGGTCTCACCAGTGTTCTGTATAATGGCATGAGCACTTCCCTTTTTCTACTGCTAATACCTCTCCCTATACAACCAAGCATTCTGCTAGCATTTCCTGCTGCTCTATTACATTGTCTGCCTACCTTTAAGTCATCAGAAATAATCACCTCTAGATGTTGAGGTTAGGATTCTATCAAATATTCTGTACTCTGCCCTTGGGTTTTTACGTCTAAGATGCATTATCTTGCACTTATCCACATTAAATGTCAACTGCCACAACTCTGACCAATTTTCTAGTTTACCTAAATCGTTTGTCATTTGGCTTATCCCTCCTGGAACATCAACCCTGTTACATATCTTAGTATCATCAACAAAAAGATACACCTTACCATCAAGACCTTCTGCAATGTCACTAATAAAAATATTAACGAGAATGGGTCCAAGTACAGGTCCCTGAGGTACCCCACTGGTGACAAGCCCAAGCTTTGAATATACTCCATTGACTACTGTGGCAAACCTAGCCACTTGGGACTGCCTAAGATAGAATGGTTGTGCCTATTTTCTGTTGTGTACTGCGCGCCGGTATAGTGTGGCGTCTCCGGCTATGTTTAATTTATGCTGTACTGTGTATGTCTGTTCGAATCCTCCCCATTCGTTAGCATTGCTATTAAAACTGACTAAGTTGTATATTTTGAAGTAGAAAGGTAACGGTTTATGTCCTCGTAGTTTTCATTACTGTATGTTACAGCAGGGGCTGTTGGGAGGAGGACCTGGAAACGGTAGTCTCCCTCCAGTCCCCTCAACCAAAACCCCTGCTGCCCATCTTTGGAAACCCCTGTTGAGTGACCTGCTTTAAATATCAGTTATTTTTAATAAAGTGACAGTTGAGTGACCTGCTTTAAATATCAGTCTTTTTGAATAAAGTGGCAGTTGACTCTCAGACTGTGTTTCGTCTGGTTCTTGGGAGGATTTGGGAATATTGCCTGCTTCCAGCTTTGTACTTGGTTATTGCATTCTACCAGCAGAGATCCTGGGATTATAAAATTGCAGCTCCGCAACAACTACAACCCTCAGTTATTACCCATTCAGTTATTACAGATCTATTAATATTATAGATAATACCGTCCCTTTATTGTTATTATACATAATACCATCCTTCTGTCGTTATAATACATAATACCTCTAAATAATGTTCTCCCTTCTATTTTTCCCTTTCACTCTAACATTTTTCATTACTAAAATATCCCTGTCCTTCTGTAACACCATCTTCATTGCTCCCATTTACTCCCCTCCTGTCTCTATTCATCCCATGCACTATACGTATACCTTTCCAGCCTATCTCCACCAACTCCTCCCAAATCCTAGATATAGATAACCTCTTACAAAACTTTAAAATCCTACTCCCACCTTCACTTCCTTTCGATCCTTCTGTTCCTAGCAGCTGGTGATGTCTCTCCAAACCCACCACGTACTAACTCAAGGAACTACACCAATCTCATACCCATCTCATATTACTCTTTGTCACGACAGTGACCAAAGTCACAACAGTGACCCCTTCACACAGCGTGAAACCCACAGAAAGACGGTTACCGGACCTTAGAATGGCCGGACTAGCGTCTGAGAATAGTCAAAGAAATAGCCAGAGGTCAAGGGAAAACGGAAGACGGGCACACGATTATCCAAGCCAAGATACGGGAAACCAGAACACAGAATAGTCAGAGAGATAGCCAAGGGTCAATTACCAGGAAGGACAAACAGAAAAGATAGCACCAGGGGACTTAAACAAGAACCACACTAGGGCATCTGACAAGTGCCCTTTAATAGTGTGGGTTCTTTGGCTTTAATTTCGTAGCCACGCCCCCAAAAAGTCCGGGAGCGTGGCCACGTTTGAATTTTGGCGCCATTTTTACTCTGAGGTCGGCGCGCATGCGCCGTGTCATAAATGTGGGTGTGTTCCGAGCGGCCGGCGTCAGAATGGCTGAGCTGCTCCCCGGAAGCATCGGAGGAGGACCCGGCGCTGCGCGGGACCGGCGGGGAAAGGTAAGCGCTTGTTACACTCTTCCTCTAAATCCTCCTTCAATACTGCCCTCTGGAATGCATGCTCTGTTTGCAATATTACAAAATCCACTGCTGTCCACGACCTCTTAACAACCTAGACTGAAACATGCCTCTCCCCCTCTGACACTGCTACATAGTTACATAGCTGAAAAGAGACTTGCCTCCATCAAGTTCAGCCTTCCTCACATTTGTTTTTTGCTGTTGATCCAAAAGAAGGCAAAAAACCCAGTTTGAAGCACTTCCAAATTTGCAACAAATTAGGAAAAAAATTCCTTCTGGACCCCAGAATGGCAGTCAGATTTATCCTTGGATCAAAGAGCTATTACCCTACATTGAAAAATGTTTTTGCATCTATTTGCTGTTTGAACATCTGTATGGACTCTGATAAAACCACTTCATCAGGCAGAGAATTCCACATCCTTATTGTTCTTACAGTAAAAAAACCTTTTCTTTGCCTTAGACAGAATCTTCTTTCTTCCAGTCTAAACGCATGGCCTCGTGTCCTATGTAAAGTCCGGTTTGTGAATAAATTTCCACACAATGGTTTGTATTGGCCCCGAATATATTTGTATAATGTTATCATATCCCCTCTCAGGTGACGTTTTTCTAAACTAAATAGGTTTA